TGGTTGCTGGTGCATTTGGTTGGAACCAGCATTCCATGTTGATCAACTTCGCCGTTTGTCTACACATGTTTCTGGCAAATGAGCACTGCAATCCATGAAGCCATGAAGCCACGAATCTGACCGGAGGAGCCGCGATTTGACATATATCTGAACGGACACCATGAATTGCTGAGCCCACTTCCAAATCAGAGTTCAATCAGGCCACCAATGTTCGTCCAAAGGGTGTTTAGAGTTGTTTTAGGGCCTAGGGTGTTCTGCCTCTTTTTCGCCCCAAATCGGGATGCCTCTCCTTTTGGTCACTCATCCGGCTCAGCTCTGTCCGACAACAGCTCCGGCCGCTCGTGAAGACGTCACGCGGAAAGGTCAGTAGTGATGCAGCTTCACCTGGTGAAATGTTGACAACAACTGTCAATGACACATCAAAAGCAACCAGCCTGGATCAGCCTGGTGGGTACTGCTTGGCCTTGAGGTCTTGGCACAACGCGCGTTGGCCTGCACGAGAAGGTCAGTTGAATGCAGAATTGTTCAACACCCAAAAGAGAAAACAAATCCTGGTACAGTATCAATAGACAAGGACCACTTAAACTTAAACCTGTTCCTGTGGTTACAGTAGCAGTACGAGTAGCAGCTGACTTTGACTTTGGGACATTGGAAAGTCTTGCCAGCGTTGTGCTCCGGTGATATCAACGCAGTGTGAAGTTGACAACTTGGAGCCCCTGTTCAAGTTGCCGATGCTCAAAGTGTCTTCCGAAGCCACCCAAGTCCTGCTTTCGTTTTTAAGTTGTGGAACGAGTTTGATCTGAGATCTGTCAGTCTAATTCCCAAACCTGGAGGTCCCAGACTACAAAGACCGCTCTTCGCCGCCAACCAAATCTAACCTTAAGGACTCCAACAGATGGTATTTTTACTGCCAAAATAAGTGGTATTTGGAGCTCTCTCATGCTCTCCCACGCTCTTTGCCCGAAACTCAGACGTTGCCGGGCGCCCTTTATCGAACACTGCTGCGCCGCAAACATCAGCGGTTCGCTCAATCGGCGTTGGAGGGGAAGGCCCAGCGGGAGACATCGGCCTGTGAGAGACGAAGGGAAGTGATCAGATCGGCAGCGGCATCGGAAGATTTTGGAAGAGATCCGGATCCATCATGTGGCACCTCCCGTTCAGTCCAGAAAGGGTTCACAACAATCCTAAAGTAACCGGATAGATTCGAAGCGCATCGATACCAAGTAAGGTAATTTGTAAAATATGTATACTCAAAGTTAAGTAAATACAGAAGCGACTAGAAACTCACCGCGACCCAAAGAAGGCAAGAAGCGGCCAGAATTCGGAAGCCATTTATGACCACTTCAGTCTGCCATTTGGGGCTGATGGCTAGCGAGCTTCTCTGGCTTTCTGAAAAAAGGTGAATGCATGGTTGCTAGATAGATGATTTTGGTTGATATTAGTATATATATTAGTAATGAATTCGCCAATCACGTGGGTCAACTTGGTAGGTCAACACTGGCTGCAGGTGCCGCCAGTGTTGCTCTCACCTCCTCCTCTGCAAGGTGTTGAACTGGATGTACTTTTCGGTACTGGTTTTCCAGAGCATACCTAGGGCAAAGAGCAAACACTCTCAGGCAACTCGTGTTCACCAAGATTGGATCATGATTGGGCAGGATCAAGATTACCACAGAAGATACATGAACATACTACAGTATGTGGCAGCATACCCAAAGTATCCCACATTTGTCTTGCAGGACCGTGGGATGGTCATCAGCACAAGTCCGCACACGTTCTCTCATGCTACAAGTATGAGGTTCGGACTCTTGGATGTTGTGTTGATGAGCTCTTGCCTCAGAAATGGAAGGATCAGCTCCACCCGCAGATTCTAGTGCCACCACTGCAAACACATGCAAAAGCATCTTGAAGTCAAGTCAGTGGCCAGCCCCCCCTGCTTTCTTTCACTCAGCTCTTTATTAAACCACCAATATCACCAATGAAGTGACTAATTTCATACACCTTAATTATAGATTATTATAGTATCTTATAGATTATAGATATCTTATGTCTTATAGTCCCAATAAGATACTAATATATCTTATAGTCTCAAGTACTGCTTCGCCGCACCGATGTCACACCCGCACGGTCCCCGGGCGATGCCGTCGAAGGAGGCCAAGGCGGCGCCGCGCAGGCGGGTCAGCGCCCGGAAGACCGAGCCTCGGTGGGCGGGCTTTCCACCGGGGACTCGTTCAGAGGTGGGTCCGGAGTGAGTGGGGTGATGGGGGATGGCTCCATCCGTTTTTTTCTCGCATTTGCAGAATTGGAGAAGTGGAGGAGCAGATAGGAACAGAACAATCGGGGTATCCGAAAGCAGTTGACAAGATCATTCCATGTCATGCTGGCGAGTGGGAGTGTAAAGTGTACATCTCTCATCTCTTCTTCTGGGTTTTTAATGCTTGGCTTTTTGCTCCCCAAGTACCGGATGAAATCGATCTGTTCCCTTCATTTGAGGCCTCTGAGGGCGGCCTTTTGGTGGGATTCTTGGCCGCGGCCAAGGCCATCGATTCCAAAGGAATGATGGAGATATCTGGGTGGAGAGCATGGTAGAGGAAGTTCACTTGCAGCCAACCAATCTTCCCAACCAATCAATCTGCTTCTGGTTATGTCTCGCACAGATAAGGAGAGATCTGTAACATCGAACAGTCACATAACTGAGTCGCATGTGTCTGATGCAACATCGCCTTCTCTCAGTCATTGGTAAACTGAGCCTTTCAGTCTGAGCCTCGGACGCTCCTCCTCTGCAATCTCGGCCTTTTCAATCTGATCGATCATCGCGTCACTTTCCCTGCCACGGAATTCTGCCACTTGTCGAAAGAGTGGCGATCCCCACTCTACATTAAAGTTTCGAGAGCCTGAAGGATGGCATAAACAATCGTCACCTAGCTACAGCCTGGTACAAAAACAAAAGCTTCAGTGGAATTGGCGGCGGTTTGTGAGGCTAAGTCAGACTCAGACTTTCTTTGAGGATGACTTGCTATCATATCATGTATTACTAGTAGCATCTAGTAGCAAAGGGCATCGCTAACCAACGGAGCAAGGACGCTACTAGTAGCTCCTGGCCTTACTACTAGGAGCAAGAAGCTACTAGGTGGAGGCCATCGCTATCATTTATGTTTGCCATCAACTTCACCCTTTTCGGGTGTGCTGGCCCAGCTGGATGGATCTGTTTCAGGACGGATCGGATCAGGCACCTGATGGAAGCCTCTGTCAGTTCTTGGCCTGTCGCCTCGCAGAGCTCTCGAAAATGGAGATAAAAAAGAAGAAGGTGAAACGAAGACTCATGCGTTTTGATCTTTTTGATGTGAATCAGTGGACTATTGTATATCCTTGAATTCCTTGACATCTGTGACCGTCGTTCTGTGTTTGGGGATCGAGCATGGGCCCCACCTCTCGACCGAAGGGCTCCAGCTCAGTAAAGGGCATGGAGGGATCAACCTGCGAATCAGCAAGAATCGTGGTCCCTATCGGCCAGCGCACGAATCCCTACCCATCCCTACCCATCCCTACACTCTTTTCTTGCAACATACAAGTTTACAGTTTACATTGGTCACACTCGCCGGTACTGTGAGACACGCGCGGGTCAGTTCACGATTTACCGGCGCTGGCATTGCACTAAGTGGCATTATTCTTATGTGCTTGGCGCTACCCTCCCTGCACACCTGGGCCTTCAGGGGAGCCTTGGCCTGACATGACCAGTCGTCTTCTGAAGACACTCAGCAGAGGGACAAAAGCCACAAGCCTAGACTGCCTAGGTTTTGCCAGGGGGTCGCCACTGATTTGAGACATGCTTCTTTGAGAAAGCCATGTTCATCGATTCAGATGCTTCACACAGCCCCCCCCCCAAAAAAAAAAAGGAACTACAAATCAAACACTATGAAAAAACACATTGATCGACATAGCATGACATAGCAAACACCTCAATTCACTGGAAGGTCTGTCTCAATTAGTCCATGTCCTTCTCCCATGACTTCCCCAAATCCCCCTCTGATGACCAGGGACATTTAAGCTATACCTGTCCCTGTTGGCCTTGGCAGGCTTGGTCTTCTTGGATTCTGCCGTCTTTGTTTCGACCTCATCTGTCCGTTCCCAGGTAAACCATGCTGCCGTCAGTTCAAGTTCAAGAGAGTTGCAAAAGAATTCCTTTCATGGAAATCGAGTTGTCTGTTCAAGTCTTCTCCGAACATTGACATGCACAAGTTTGGATGCATCCAAACTACAGCCTCGGGCAGTTCCTGCCAGAAAACACATGTCTTTGCTCCGCAATCGTCAAAAACAAACATCAACACTGTAGGTGCCGTGGGACAATACCACAGAACAATTTCCCGACCTACCCCAACCTCATCTTCTGCAAAAAGCATCAAAATGCAGTGTCCCAAGGTACAGCACAGTACTACAAAATGACTGTTTGGCACGGGCTAAGCTGGGCCCAGCTGTAATCACTGCATAAACTGGCGTAAACAGCTTGTCAGCACGTGTTCAAGGACCTAAAGGACATATTTTGGCACCTGGACCTCCTCGAGATCTTCTACTCGGCTCAAAGCCACTGGATCCTTCTCTGGAGCCTGGGATGGAAGCGGGATCCGGATCGAACAAGAGGTGGGAGGAATGTGTAAACGTTGTCATTTTGTAACGTTATCAATATTCTTCATTCAATTCTCTCAGCCATTCATTACACCGCAATGTGCCATGGCGGTGCGGTGCGCAGCTGCTTTTGGCGCTGCTTCTGACGCGCCGATGGACGGTAGTCTTCGAGCTTCGAGCGCTCTTCGATCCGAGAGGTGCTCAGGACAAAGACGACCCAAACGTTTGGCCAACAAAGTTTGGCCAACTCGTTCCAAGTAAACTGTACAAGTTCCTAGTACACTTGATCAAAGCACCAAACATGTCTGCAGTTTCTGAGATGGGCTTGTATTTTTTGTTGGTCCTGGTCATGTAACACAATGTGATTCAAATCCCATGTTCATGAAACTGCGCGGCGGAGTGTTGGTACCTTATGGTTGGTCGGTTTGTCCCTGAAGTGGAAAGCATCGCATGAGGTTTGTTGGGGTTGGGCATCGCACGAGGGAAGAATCCAAACCAAACAAAAAGCTCTCTGGATGACCTGGGCGGAAAAGGCTCCAATCTTGGGTTTATCGACCCAAAGGTTGGATGTAAGACGATGTGACGTATCTCTAGTCAAGCTAGATCAAGCTAGCAGCTTTAGATCCGCTAGCTCGCTACCCCAATGAAGTCATGCAGTGGTCGCGTCACCCTGGGTTTCATCATACCCAAAGGTTAAAAAACTGCGATCCAACTGAACACCACCAGCGATCCACGGCGGAGCCGAGCCTTTGCCGAGCGGGTTTAAACATCCCTTTTGACTCGGTGGCCCCGCTCCAGGAACGAAGGGATTCTGTCGATGATCATGCCGCACCTGGACCGACAGAACCGGGCTTGGTAGAGAAAGGCAGGACATCTTCGCCCGACATGATTCGTAGGCGATATTCATCCACCCTTCGCCGAATCCCGACTGCTTCAGACAAACTGTCGGGGTTCTCTTCCAATTCTTGCAGGAAGAGATTGACTTTCTGCACATGCTCCTCGTGCATCATGCGATTTGGGGCAGCTGCTATCTCCATCCCTTCAGGTACGTGCGGATCATCATAGGTCCATGACCTGGGGGACAGCTTCTCAAGAGCCATCTTCATCAGCACAGGAGGCGCCGATTCCGACTTCCGAGGCCACGCAGGACTCGTCCAAGTCGACTCGGAGTCGTCGGAGTCGTCGGCCAGGCACTGACGGATGTCATCAAAGTTCATATCAACCAAAACTTGGACCTGAAGAAACGATACGTTCATGCGCTCATGTCATGCATGCATGGGCTAAAACCTCGTCATGTCACATGGGTTTTCGGTTTTGCAGCGTTGTAAATAACATTATATAAGCGTTGCCCAAGTAGGATAAAGATCGGAGAATTGGTTCAAAACTGAAGGAGTATCTTTTGTCATCTTTTGTGCGCGTTCAAGATCCTGTATATAAGTCTAGATACAATTGGTCTAAGAACTCTGTGTCCGTACTCTGTCCTACTCCAAGGCACTCTCCCCACCTTCGATGCGCCGTTGTGGGTTCTTCTCGAGGCTGTCTTTTGGTGAATGCGAGCTTCAGCGCTGGCCCCACAGCCCATGGTTTTAAGATGTTTTAAGCAGGTGCCGTCTCGAGTTTCCCAGTGTCTTGAGCCAGATGAGGCTTCAAACAACTGGGACATTCACTTGTTCAACCAAACAGTCCTCCAATGCCATAGCTGCTCAAACATTTGCTGATGTTTGCATTTTCACCGGTGAGCTGAATTTCAGGCGACATATGTTTAATCGGTGAAGTGACCTACGCCAGTACCCCCACACGCAAACGCCCCGTATGAAACAAATGGAAAGTGTGCCGCTGATGCCGCCGCAGCCGCCACGCCTGAATCACCTCATGAAGCTCCTTCAACGGGCTAGCCTCGATGACCAGCGAAGGGCAACTCAAAGCGGAGCCGAATTTGTGTGGGTAAGGTGTCTGTGTATGTCCGTATGACTGGATGAACTGCAAGGAGAGTTTTGGTTCATGTGTACAGGACCAACATGACATTCAACCCGATGTCTTTGCACCGCTGAATGCCAGGCCTTGTTCACTGTGGATGCAATGCCCACCGCGCTGATGGGGAGCTTCCTTGTCACTTGCATGATTGCAAGTCTGCAAGGTGTGCATGATATGTTCTTCCTTCACACGGCGTGGAGTCGGCAAAAGATGACCACCCCTGAAATGCCAAAGCTCTTGTGCGCATGGGATGCATGCCTCAGCTGTCCGCGTTCGTCGCCCCGAGAAATCGGTATCTTTTCTCATGAATTCGACAGAAACGTCGAATCAAACTGGGCTAAGATTGAACACGCACCTTTTGGCCTTAATGCTATGAGTGTGGTGCAAAATCTGCGCCTCTTGCGGCCTTTGGCAGCTCTGCAAATATTTTCAGGAGCCAACTCGAACAACTTAACTTGACTCTGCCATCATAAATATATAGCCAAAGGTGCCTGTGGTGCTTCTTCTTGTGGCCAATCTTCCCATGAACATCAGTCAAAGTAGCCTCCGCCATGGGGAAGGCCGAATGCGATTGACTCAATGGTCCCGAAATTAGCCAGAGATCTGTACGTCGAGACCCAGTACTGAACGGCAATCGAATCCCCTCATCGAACGGCAAACAACTCATGGAAAGCCTCCGAAGACTTCGTTCGTTTTCAGGGTCATCAATGAACCTCACTTACACGATCTTACACGAACTGGCACAAGACCCGCTCCCCATAGCATCCCCATCCTGGTCATGGCCGGCTCCGGCACCCAAGATGAGAAGGAGTGGCAAGCAGATTTTGAGCCTCAGAGGAGACAACAGTGATCGCTCAATGCCGTTGGTTCTACACGGTGCGACTACATCCTGACATGGCATTGGTGGAGCGCCCCTCCCAGATACTGGCCCTCCCTTCCTTTCTCTAAGTTTCAGACTCTTAGCGTTTTCTGCCCCTCTCTTTAACGCAATTGAACTGTCCAACCAAACATGCTTGGCTCCCAACTGCATCGCCTCTACCTCAACTGTGCAGCAAGGGCATTCAAAACAACCCAGAAAGTCAAGAATTCAACCGACCACCTGTGGGGTGTTGAAGAAGCTGCACTTTCCCGGGAGGATTCTGCTCAGTGGCATTCCCAGAACAAAAACAAAGTGGAGGCTACTAGCAACTATAGTATGCAATATAATATGACTCATCGCAATTGCTAATGTATGAAGCATCTAGCTATGGGATCAAGTAAACACGCTAATTGGGGTAGAACTGCAATCTCTATCAATGATTTAGGTTCCACACGTTTCTACTACAACATCTCGTATTCACAGAAGCCATTGGACTTGACTTGACCCAGAACAATATGAAACTCAAGCGGCGTTGTTGGAAGCTGCGCGGGATGAAATGCAACGTCCCACGCGTGCGCTGCGTCTGTACCAGAGCAGCTGCGGTTTTCAAGCTGAAAAAGATCTCCACATCGAGCCATGGATGGAAACATCAAAGTTTGGACAGAAACGACGGTCGAACCCTGCAGAGCCCACGGAGCCCACGCCCGTTGTCCGCAATTAACCACATCTTGGACGCTGTCGCACAAGCGGCCGTCGGATGGCGTCGGATGGGCCTGATCTACAAGAGAAACAGGTTGCCGTTCACCTCAACAGGCGAGAACAAACGACGCCAGTGAACCCATCAAATATCATCGAGAACATTCTAAAAATATCTAAAAAATATCAAATATATTCAAATATAACAGACAAAAAAAACGGGACTACGAGCCACCCGCTAAGCAAAAAAAGGCCCTACAAAGTCGGCAATTGAAAGAGTTCTTTTTGAAGATTGCAGAATCCTTACGATTGGAACTGGGAAAACCAGATAAAACAAGGATTATCAGCAATGCTGGATCCTTCAGGCCATGGTTCAACACGTCCGGAACGAGTGTCAGGTCAACACGTCCGGAACGGCGAACCCCTCAGGTCCAAGCTGTGGACAGCATCCACTGCAGTGGCAAAGACATGCACGACACCCTGCACGACATAACTGGCATAAGCTGGCATGATTGTTAAATTCTCTATTAAGTTGGAGGCCATTGCCCCTAGGTTGGAGGCCATTGCTACAAATTACATCATATTACATATTTAATTGCTATTCTTCTCTAGTCATGATTTCTCACGATCTTCCTCCAGGCCGCAATTGCTTGACCTTAGCCGACCCGCTGCTCCGCCCGGCTCCGTCCTCCCCGTCGCTGCGTCGATGGAGGACTTCCGGCAGCCGGCCGACTCCAGCAGATGTTTTCAAAGACCGCCTGCGAGGCTTTGGCGATGGTCCGGTCATGATGATCATGGAAAAAGCATGGAAAACCTCACCTTGCAAATCACAACTATATATATATATAAATTTGGGCGGACTTCAGAGCAACATTGGACGTGAGACGTAATGTCCCTGGCTGATTCCCCTTGGCTCTGGACTCTGTTTTCTTCCGGTGTTCAAAAAGCCGGCGGAGTTTGAGCGGCCGCGTCTTCCTCTACCGCAACAGCGCAGTCCCTTGAATTCACGAGTAAACGACGCCTCCGCAAGTGGACCCGTGCATCGCCTCCTTCGTGATATATCTACGAAAGCCTTCGGACCAAACCACATAGTGCGTGTCGCGGCAGGCATCCAGGAACACCCAATGAGAACATGAGCTCGAACTCTCGTTGCGCAGTCCGGCAAACGCGATGTTTAACATTGCGGCTTTGGCCGTGCAAAGTTTGACCCACATGTTGGCCGTGGCTTGAGGGTCCTGGTGGGACACTGACATGACCATTAAAAACATGCGCGCAATTGCCTGGAATTTGTCGAACGTGGTGTCTCCAGGTGCAGCAGACAGAATTGGCTGAAAGGTCGGCTTGGATGCCAGGGAATACATGGCATCAAGGGGCTGTCCTGGAGTTTGAAGGGTGTTTTGGACGATCAGCAAATCCTTGGCTGACCACTTGGTGTCCAACAACACAGTACAAGCACTTTCTGGAAAGATCTTGGAGCAATCGCCTACAAAGGTTGTAGCATAAGAACAGTTCGATCGTCCTACTTTCTCGCAAATCCAAACAATGTGAGAGGGCGGAGTTCTGAAGATCAGGTCGCCATCGTCAAACAAGGTCATCACTTCGCCGGGATAGACACTGGTAAGGATCTTCTCACATTGATCATCTCCATTGGCTGCCAGCTGAACTTCATGTTCAAGGGAACCAATCATCGCTGTCACCCACATGCGTTGGAGGCCCACTGCCTGGCATTGTCCATCAATCAAAAACTGTTTGGACTGCACATCTTCAACTGGACACCAGAGATTCCCATGATATCTGTCTCCACCCGGCTGATCCGGACGGAAAGGCACGAGACCTGGCTGCTGCTCATAGACATAAGGGCACGCTTCTGACATACCAGGCAAGGCACCCGTGTAGTAAAGCTGCAGCGCCTAGACCAGGTTTGGTTTGAGAATGTTTGAGATGTCTTCAAGTCATCAAAAGCAAACATCCTGAAATTGGTTGGGTGATGGATGCATGCCAGGGAACATCAAGGAACACCTGAAGACAAAACACGACATTGACATTGTACAACTTTTGCTCTCTAGGCCTTTTTGAAGGCCTGCACCGGCGAGCGTGCGGTGAGAGCTGCCAAAACCGCGGTCGGCCCACAAGAGTTGAAGAATTGCGAATTCGTTTGGCTCAGGATCGCGTTGGCCATCTCGCAAAAGGCATAACTATCCATGGAATGAGCGTCATGAATGGCACCCACCGGCGGCATGGTCGAGTAGTCCACACTGACCCCGTTCTCGGAACCCCACGAAGGATATCCGCCGGAATACGCATACCAATTCACCACGGAGTAGTTTTGCATTTTGGCACCGCTGGGGATTTCTTGGCGGATGCGGTTCATGGCCTGGGCAACGTCAAACATGTGGTCATACCCTGCAGCATCCAACACTTCCGATCTAGATTCAATTCCATAAAGACAACAGGCGACCTCCCCTATCATCACCTCCTTATCGCAGCATGTCTGTAGTGACGGAAACCAATAAGAACAACAAGTTTGCCAAAAAAACAATCGAGTTATATATATATATAGTTTTTTAGAACATCCAAGGCTTACTGTAGAACATTGCCATGTTTTTAGTCCTTGTCTTGGAACATGCTCAATCCCACGTCTTAAACAATTACCACTCAAAACATCACTTAGAACACCACTTTTAAGATTGCTTGGAAGCCTTTTAACAAACATGGCATTTCGCAACTCTTTTTCAGGTCTCTTCCGGATGGTGCGTATATGGCACAGCCTGCACTTGATCTATTATGAAAGTCCGGTAGTTTGTAGTCTATAATACCCCTTTTGTAGCTACAATCAACTCCGCATTCTCTCATGGTCTCATCATGTTTGAGGATGCTCTAAGAAAGGAACATGTTGCTCATGGTTCCAACTCATGACTCAGAGCAGCGCATTGTTACGCTACGCTTAGAACATGGCTGCCCTAAGTCTTTCTAAACTTCTAAACGATGCTCTAAGTGGGCGTCGGCTACTCTACACACATCGTTCAAAGGTATCGTGTTTGCGTTGCTTCAATGGCGGTCCAAGTGAAAACGACAAAATTGGAGATGTATATAAACTATAAATAAGAGGCTCCCGCCATTTTGCCTGAATTCCTGACTGATAGTGCACGACGGTATGTGATGTGTACAGAGTGGTTCCCACTTGAGATGGGTTTATCGTTGTTCGCGTGCGCGCCTTAGTATATTGTCCAATAGCTCATAGGCTTTTTGCTAGGCTGCCTTCTGCTTAAAATAGTGTCGGTAGCAACCGGAATCGTACTGTCCACACGCTCTTTTCACTGCGAAAGCGAGCACGGTATAGCTCAAGGGCCCTAGGAGCCAAACGGCGGCAGACACAACATAGTGTGACAACCTGGCTCAACAGAATCAGATCCTACCTCAAATTTACAGGTGTCACACGGCTATACATTGAAACTCTTGTGTCTTCCTAAGGCATTGGAGAAATCTACTTCTGCTTCTGTACAGTGTAGTGGCACTCTTTCAGCACTCGAAGTAGCAGATCTGGCTTCATGGACTTCGTCAGACAGTCCGACACCATCGTACTGGTGGCAATCCAGATCAACTTGTCTCCTCCATTCTCGAAAGCAATCCATGTTGGTCTTCCTTCTTGCCACAAATTCTCATGGATTCCTTGCAACTCGATACCAAGGCGCTTGTCACTCACCTTGGCCAGGACTTCCTGATTGAGGTGGTCAGAAAGCGAACGGCAATCAGTCATCGCCAAATGCGGAATGCATTCACGGGCATCATCTTCCCATGTCTTCAAACTGCGAATCTTGCCCTTGATCTCCGCAATCACACCTCTCAGCTTGTCACCTGTCTCGAGTCCGTTCTGGAGGGAATACGTTTCGGCCTGGAGAGTGCTGCGGCAGACTCTCTTAATTGTCGTGGATCCAAAAGACAATGGCATCACCTTATAAGTGGTCGTCTTGTCATCTTTGATCTCCTTGAGATCACCCAGAAAATGCCCTGTTGCGACTTGTAGTTCTTCTCGTTGGAGAAGGAGGCATCTGTGACCGTGATCACACCAACTTCACTCCATTGGAGATGAGCCGCAGGAAAACACAATGCCACATCGTGACCTTTGTGTGCCAGGACAACGACTGCGTTAGCGTCTGCCAACGTGGACACAGTTGCATCTTTAATGCTAGACTGCAAACGGCTTACCCTGTAACCAAGGTCAGGCCTGGTCTGTCTCGAGATCCAGGCGAGCGATCCGGTGATCGATCTGAGCTTCGTGATGTCTCCTTGCTGGAGACGTTCACTGCTTAGCCTAGACCCAACATCTGCTCCATGAATCTTCCTAGTGTTATCTGCTGCGTCGACTTTGATGACCTTGTCATCTCCTCGCGCGAACTGCTTCCCACAATATCGAAAGCTGTTAGTGTCTGAGCTGCCGACACTGAACTTGGCAAGAAAAGACTTCATCACTTCCTCGCCTTCCGGAAGAAAACTATAAAGCAAGTCGTCCACGTGAGTGCACATGAGGGCACAAGCATCTCCTCCCTGCTCACCTGGGAGGTAGTACAATCCTGGGAAAAACTGGCTTGCCTTCAGGCCGCTCTTACGTGCATCGGCATCCAAACGCAACCAAAAGCCTCTTCCTGAGTCCGTGATCCCGTATACAGGGACCCTCACGAGAAAAAGGACATTGGGTTCTACACCTGGCAAACCTCCTCTCGGCTGACGCGTGAGAAGGACTCGGTCCAGTGGTCGTCCTTGGAAATATGCCGAGGTAATATCAGCGGAATGAATGTCGGCCTGGTGGCACGCTGCCCAGCTGCAGACGAGGCAATGCATCTCTACATCAGCTGTTGGACTATCTGACCTCAAACCCTCTGTCATTTCGAAGTTCCCGCACGAAACTAGTCTGCTTTTATACATGGGCTTGTAGTCAGGATCTCTCCCCTTCTTGTACTCTGCTTTGTCTACATCCACCCATTTGGGTGGAATGCATTGGTGCCCTTCGTCAATGAGCTCTTGCGCTTGTTCTGGGCTCAATGCCACTACTGCTCCGAAATCTTCAAATTTGGACCATTCCTTTTGCCTTGTTTCCTGCAGGGCTTTCTGCACTTCTGGAGGCGCAGACTCATAGTGAATGCTCTTTAGAACCTTCTTACCTAGCTCTGCTTCATCCTCAGTCTGGGCAAGAAAACTAGTCCACATGGCATGTGCGTCTTCTCGATCTTGCTCTGGTAGCTCTCTGTCTCTCTGGCGTGCTCTCTCAAAATGTTCTCGTAGAGAAGCTGGCAAGTCGTTCAAATGATCATACACATTAGGCCATGCATGTGGAGCGCTCGTGGATTCCCTGCGGGATGGTTGCAATGAGGTACCGCGTTCACTCTCCGGTTCGGCGACACGGGGCCTCACATTGCGGCTATGCTCATTTCCTGTGTCAGGGAACGGACGTGAAACGGAGCTAGCGGACCTACTCAACTCTTCAAGCGCATCTTCACTTTCGGATTGGTCTTCATCAAAGAAGTCCGGTCTGATCCCTACATCTAACTCATCATCTTCTGGAACAGGGGGTAGTGAACCAGCATCCAGAAATTGGAGTTCGGTTTCTTGAGATTCGATGTGTATTGGGGATCCGGGTTCGCTCGGATCTGCACGTGCATCAAGGAAAGACTGCTGAACACCTTCCTTGACAACGTTTTCGGGAAAAACAGGCTCACCATGCAAAACAGCATGAGCTAGTGCTTCGGTCGGCGTGGCAATCTTCACATTTTGATTGGCGACCAACACTGGAACATTTCCACACAACAACCACAAATTCCTTTCACCTTCATGGCCTATCACCCGACTAGTGGGACTCCATGTGGTGCCCCCTTTTTGATTGTCTCGACGAAAGGTCACTAGATCACCTACTGCATACTCCCGAGGAAGACTGGAAGCATTGCGAGTAAGCGCACGGGACACCCTTGACGAACAATCTAGGTAAACAAATGCCTTCTGAGTTTCCTGCCTGGCCATGTGCTGTAAGGCGAAAATGCTCTCTGGGTTGTGACGGGCTTCAATAGCTCCAAGCTCGGCAAACCGTTCTTCAGACAATGGGCTCGGATCTGGTCGGGGTCCTTTTCCAAGTACCCATTGACTAGGCGAGAAACCTCCGACTCTACTGGAGTTGTTCTTAGTAGCTACTACCTCGAGCAGTACCTGCTCAACCTGTTCTCTGCCAACAGCGCCTGTCTCTTTGCAAACCTTCCTAAAGAGTGACTTGACAATGCCTCCATGACGTTCTACACGACCAAGATTCTCCGGGCTTTCCAGAGGGGTGTGGTACACTTGGATTCCATGTTCATCCATGTACTTCTTCATGACACCTCGGTTGTGCAGACCTCTGTCACATGCTATGTTCACAGGATGGCCACACCATGAGAACCAACGCTTCCTCAGTGCTTTCAGACATTCGGCAGAAGACGGTTGACCAGCACCAAAACGAACAACCTCACATAGCTGAAAAGTAGTACCCAAACAAACCATGTTCAACACTTGGAACTTGTCACCTGAAATGTCGTGAACTTCAAACACATCAATTCCTACAGTGTGGTTGAACGAGTAGTTGTTAGGCAATGCTGTCTTGTGCGTGGCCTTCTTCTGGGACGTTGCTTCACAAGTTTCGCATCTGTGGATCCTGACAGCATCGATGAATTCCTTTCGAACCTTTGCTGCACGAAGGAGATGGATCATCGTCTGTTTGGGAACGTGTCCAAATTGCCTATGCAATCTTCTCACACCAATCCTCACACGCGCAGGCAACTTGCGCCACATCCGGCGTCGTTCGACTTCATCTGCTGGCAGGCCTGGGATGTCTACTTCATCGACCAGTGTCTCTTCCGAGATCAGGTCTTCTACTGGGTTCACCTGAGCACGATCATCATCATCCCAGATGGCATCGAACTGCTGTTCATCGTCCATCACCTCTTCCTGCAGTTCACCAACAAATGCAATAGACATCTCATCATCCAAGGTTGTATCATTGGTCCATTCACCTAACCAATCAACAAACTGCCAAGACAAGACATCATTCATGGTCTGCCCTCGAAACCACGATTCGAAAAGCTCAGTCCACTTGGGATCATTGCAGGTGAATGCCAAGTCATGGTCGTTGATATGGGGAATCTGTGGAAACTCATGTTCCTCCCATCTCGGGGTAGTTGCAACGTCAATGTGCAAAAACCGGCTACCACTCATGTCACAATGGGATTCTACTTCACCCAAAATCTTTCCATGTCTCAAAGGATCTGTACTCCGTTCATACTCGATGGCAATGACGATGTTCTTGTAGTCTTGCAAAACATCATACCAAATCTTGGAGTCCTCCTCAGGATT